TATGGGGGTTTTTTTTTTGGGCTTATCTTGTACCTATAAGTACCTAATGTTATGGGCTTTATATGTGTCGATTTTCTGAGTGAAAATAGAATGTTGAGAGACTTGAAACACCATTGAGAGTAAGATAAACACAAGTGAGATTGAGTGATTCTCTTGTAACAACTTTTCAACAAATATAGTAGAAATCTGCAGCGGCAGAAACAAGACATAGTTAAATTGGTGAACCTCTATAAAAAATTTTGGTGTGATTGTGCTTTTATTTTTTTTTACGCTATTTTTCGTTCTTGGTATTCGAATTAGATTTCGCCTAATTTCCCCTAACATTTTTTTTTTGGTGATTGTTTTGGTAGCAGGGTGGCTACAATCAATAACATGGTAATCCCCGAAAATTTTGATACCAGAACGGGATACTTTTAATACACCATGGACTACCTTCAAATCTAGTAGGTTATTGTTGGTAGTACGATTAGGAGTATTTTTGGTGTGTTAAATTTATTAGTGCGACGTTTTATGCGAGATTTTATATGTATATATATATATATATATGTGCCTTTGTGTAAAGTCCTCCATTTCAGTCCTTTTGAGTGGGAGTGAATCGGCCTGGAGGGTGTTCACTTGGCGGAGGTAACTGGACTCAGCATTCAGCAATGTGATATGAAACTGTCTCCAACCACATTCATTACGTTTGCTATTGGACATCGAGGGAAAAACTGCACGGAAGAAACGACATTTTCAAAGCAAACGTAATGAATGTGGTTGGAGACAGTTTCATATCACATTGTTGATGATCACTAGCGCAAACAACATGTGGCATGGTAAGGCGGGGCTCAAGTATAGAAAGACAGCGGATTCAATCCTGCATTCTATATTGAAAAATCAATACCACATTCATCGGTTTTAAAATTATTACTTCTATTTTAAGTTTAAAATTTACAGTCTCATTTTCTTGTTTCATTAGTTATTTCGTTAATTAAACTTTGATATCTCATTTAATTGTTTTAAGTATTTTAATATTTGTTACAATATTATATTTTTAAATTTAAATGACATAACATTTAATATTGAAAAGACAATACGAGATAGAAAACTAAAGACATGTTTGAACTCCTCTTATCTTTACATATATAAAAGAGGTAAAATGAGTTCTGATCATCTCTTCTCTTTTCCTTTCATTTTTTGTTTACTTTTTCTCATTCTTTTTCCTTTTTTGTTTATTAGTTTTATTTTTTTCCTTCTTATTCTTTTTTGCTTAAAGCTCATATGCAATTTCTTTTATTTTTTTTTCTTTTAATCTTCTTTTCTCACTTACATCTTATAACATTTATTTCATTTATTGTAATCCTTTTCTTTTGTTTATTAGGTAGAGTGAGTTTTGATCACCCTTTTCTCCTTTAGCCACATGCCAAATCCTCATTTTCTTTCCTCCTTTTCGTTTAGTTTCTTGTTTACCTCTACAAATTAGATCAGTGATCGATTTCTAGGTTTCGTCGTAAACCTAATTGGTTACTTTCAATTACGCAAATCAATAGTTCAAACCGCACTCAAAGGTAGGGCATTTCCCATTTTTATAGGAACTTCTGTACCAGAAACAATGGTATCTCCAATTAGAGCCCCTCTGGGATGTAAAATATATCTTTTCTCACCACCCCCATAGTGTATGAGACAAATGTATGCATTTCGATTAGGGTCGTATTCTATAGTTACGATTTTACCATATATGTATTTTTTATTCCGTCGAAAATTGATTTTACGGTATAGACGCTTATGACCTCCTCCTCTATGCCCTGCGGTAATGATTCCTCTTGTTCTTTTTTCTTAAAGCTCACTTGTACTTTCTTTTATATATATATATATATTTCACTTATCATCTCTTTACACTTTGTCCTATTGTTGGGTGGCCGGGTTAGCACCCCTCGTCGCTTCTGTACCCGAAACAGATGCGCTGCGCTACCCAGCGCGTAACCTTGTCTCTCCTACCCCTCTTCTGGTTATGCCATTACCAATCGCGGGTAACCCCCGGGCCGGCCGCCCCTGACCTAATAAGAACGATTATCCTTATGACCAAACAAGGACCAGCTTACTTACTTACTTCTCGAGCGATAGTTCCACGATCCCGACCAGCAACTTGTTGGGAGTAGGGGCATCAAAGCTTGCCCAACCTAGTAAAGGGGCTTGGAGATAGAGGGTTTTCTGGGACAGTTTCCAGGTTGGATTTTTAAAATCAAATAGGACTAGTTGGCAGGTTCAGTTGCTTAGATTTCCTTTCTTTTTAGCCTTTCTGCTCGCCTGCTACTGTAACTGAAGTCGGAACTCTTTTTTAAGCTCTTTTTAGTTAGCTTCAGAGTAAAGTCCCGCTTTGTATAGAAAGATAGAAGTCCCGTTCCCTCGCCTTGGAATAGGATGAAAGAGGATAGAGTGAGTGGAATATGTAGGCGTAGGCGGTGGTAAACTCCTCTTTCCGGTAGTCGAAGGGAAGCTCGTTAGGTTAGCTCGTCCGGTAAGAAAAAGTGACTTCTAGGATTTCTAGTTCCGTGCTCTAGGGCTTTGACTTCTAATAAGGAGAACTTGGAAATCGCGAACCTGCTGCTCTAGCCCCTTTCCAAGTGTGATTTCTATGTTATGTATGGCCGTGCCTAAGGGCATATCGGTTGAAGTAGATTCTTCTTTTTGATCAATCAAAACCCCTTCCCAAACTGTACAAGCTTCTTCCAAAGCATACGGCTTTCTGGATGTAGATGATGATATCTATACAGATGGATCTTCTATATATCGTATAATTCTTATATATATGATATAATGAAGTACCACATGAGTGGATATATAGGAATCAAAATCTGCCGAATCACTCATGTTATGATCTTCTACATCCTAGGTCTTCCCGTTCCTTCATCTGGCTTATGTTCTTCCTGTAGCATTCAGACCGAATGACTCTATGAAATTACGTCGATACTTCCACATATTAGGGGTAACGTAGGAGACATCTCTATTTTTCCCCGGGGGAATCCTTAGAATTACCACTGCTTAGCTTTCAATTCGCCTCTGACCATCAAATGAAATGTGAATAACCCGTCCTCCTCTCTTTGAAACAAGGGGCGCTTCTGGTTCTGTCGGTGCTTGAAACAATTTTGTCTTCTCCATATTACTATATCTCTAGAGTCAATAATTTTATATGAGGAACTACTGAACTCAATCACTTGCTGCCGTTACTCTTCAGTTTTCTGTTGAGGTCTATCCTGTAGAGGTACTCAAATTAGATCAGTGATTGATTTCTAGGTTTCGTCGTAAACCTAATTGGTTACTTCCAATTACGCAAATCAATAGTTCAAACCGCACTCAAAGGTAGGGCATTTCCCATTTTTATAGGAACTTCTGTACCAGAAACAATGGTATCTCCAATTAGAGCCCCTCTGGGATGTAAAATATATCTTTTCTCACCACCCCCATAGTGTATGAGACAAATGTATGCATTTCGATTAGGGTCGTATTCTATAGTTACGATTTTACCATATATGTATTTTTTATTCCGTCGAAAATTGATTTTACGGTATAGACGCTTATGACCTCCTCCTCTATGCCCTGCGGTAATGATTCCTCTTGTTCTTTTTTCTTAAAGCTCACTTGTACTTTCTTTTATATATATATATATATATTTCACTTATCATCTTATTACACTTTGTCCTATTTTTTTGAAATCTTATATTTTAATATGTATTTTACTCATATACTTTTTCTTCTTTTACCTTACTAAAAGGGTAAAAGGGGTATTTAAATATTTCTATGATATATATATATATATATTTCACTTATCATCTTATTACACTTTGTCCTATTTTTTTGAAATCTTATATTTTAATATGTATTTTACTCATATACTTTTTCTTCTTTTACCTTACTAAAAGGGTAAAAGGGGTATTTAAATATTTCTATGCAAATTTAACAAAATTTAATAGAACACCTTGACATGATTAATTTTGATTAAAAAAATATCTCTGTAAATTTGATAAAACGAAGGGGCCAATATTAATTGCTTTATATGGAAAGTGCTATTGCCTATTCATCTTTGTCTTTGACGTAGCCATGTGTCTCGTTCCTTTTATTTTTAAAATTTTTCTTTCTTTTATTTTTTATATCATTTTCCCCTTATCGCCTTATAACTTTTTTCTCTATTTTTTTTTAGTAATCTCACATTTTAAGATGTATTTCAATAAAATTATTTTTTCATCTTTACCTTACTTAAATATTTATATAAATAAATTCTTTATTATCTAATAAATAATAAATTATTTAGGTGATTTTAACATAGTAATACCGGCGTGAGCACATTTTAAAACTAAATCCAATAAAAAATGCTCGTTTATTCCTTTTTTTTTTTTTTTTCCTTTCGATCAATTTTCTCCAACAAGTAAGCATCTCACCAGAAAGACAATGCATACACGTAAAGCCAAAGCGCTATATGGAATAATCAAAGCCAAGAAGATCAAACCAAAAGAAGAACATTACTCTTATATAATTAAGAGATTTTTTTTAATAAATCAATCATATCAATAATATCAATTTTTAACCGTTGAATTAAATTAAAAAAATACGTAAAATAAACCGACAACGCTCAAACACCTGAAAATAATCTCACGAGAGAAATAAAAGAAAAAAATAAAACAAAAAAGGCAAACATTGACACCCATCAAATTAAGAAGACGTTTGATAAGATAATTCATATTATAATTTAAATCATAATTTATAATTCATTATAATTTTTTTTTTTTATAAAAAATATATATATATTAAAAATAATTTTAATCCCGTAATTCTAACCTATTAACAAACGGATTCTAAACTTCTAAGCTAACCCATTACTGTTTGAGTGTCATATTATCTCTCACCTGTAACTTGGGCCCCGCTTAATTACTTCACTGTCTCACTCTCAGTCCACACCACGCAACTTTTTACTTTTTTAATTATTTTTTTTCCCTTTTCATCACAAAAAAGAAATTTATTAATTTAAATCACCGCTTGCCCATTTTCCCAAATCAATCGAAACTGCTCACCCTTCTAATAATGTCCGAGCAAGAGAGCGCCACAATCACACCACCAGCGTCGCAGTCGGAGCAAGACTCGGCCATGGAAGCGCAGTCCAAGGACAACCACCACGACTCGGTGACCAACAACAAGCCCAGCCAGCTGAGCTTCAGCATATGGCCACCGGCGCAGCGCACTCGCGACGCCGTCGTCAACCGCCTCATCGAGACTCTTTCGACCCCCTCCGTACTCTCCAACCGCTACGGCACCCTCCCCCAGGACGAGGCCTCCGCCGCCGCCCGCCTCATCGAGGAGGAGGCCTTCGCCTCCGCCGCCAGCTCCGCCGCTTCCGATGACGACGGAATCCAGATCCTCCAGGTCTACTCCAAGGAGATCAGCAAGCGAATGCTCGACGCCGTCAAGGCCAGGAACGCCTCCGCTTCCGCCGTTTCCGATGGCGCCTCGCTGATCGAAGCGGCTGATCCTCCTTCCGATGATCAGAAAGTTAAAGAGTGAAGCGTCTTGATCTGATCTTTCTAGAGCTTTATTTTTTTAGCTTCATTTGATGGTGATGGTACAATAGGGTTTCTGCTTTGTTTAGAGCTGTTGTACCAAGATCTATTATGTATCGCTTATGGATTTTCGATGATGCCTATATGACGAAACCTTCTCTTCTATTATTCTAGGGTTTCTTGGTTTACATTGATTGTCGTCGTAACGCATTGCAATTTTTCTATTTGGCTTCTCCTTTTCAAATTCCTGGTTTTCTTCTTTGATGGTATCATTTTTAGGTAATATGTTTGGGTTCACATTTGTTTTCATCTTTCCCCAGAACTATGTACCAGATTCGTTATTTGCTAAAACTTACTTATCTCCTACATTATATGAAATTGGTAAAATAGCGTGAATTCCTGAAGGGGGGAAATTGGGGCATGAAGAATCTGCCAGAAATTTCAAATTCGAGCTTCAGGTAATATGGAATTCTTGGAAGTTGATTGTTTGTGGTGTCCTATTTTAAGCGCCTTTATAGAAATTGGTCGTAGTGAAGGAGAAAACAGTGTCAAACATCTAAACAGATTGGCATGTCAGTGGTGAGTCATGTATTCGTACCAAACAAGTACATGTCAGTGCCTGAGAAATTTTTGAACAGGCTTCTTTGAGTGATCACAAATCTGAAACTTTTTTGCTTTTTACCTGGTAAATGATCAGAATATTGTAAACTCAGTTTGACTAGCTTGTGCAGAATACACAAATTTAGTCAGAGTCCACCATTTGGTGCTTTTTGATTCTATTATGTTTGAAAACATTGCTTGTTCTGTAATGCTCTCTTTTCATGTGCTTTTATAAATTTCTCTCTCATGTTTTAGGTTTTTTGTTTCAGTATTTTTGAGAAATCAGATTTTTCTGCTGCAGTGCAAATGTTCCATACAAATATAATAATTACACTGAATTGGGAAATGGGAGAAAAGCAGGGCATGGAAGGAACTGCTTGATCCCTGAAATCCGAGTTGCAGGTATTACTGTTGAAATTTTGGGTGCCATACTTGTTATTTTCTCTGCTAGATACTTCGTACCTGTTTACTGAGGGAATTCTTCACCGTTTATTTAAGCTGCGTTGCCTGCGTAAACTTTCGTATCTAGAACCTGAGTGAATTAGTTGGGCTTTTTTTTTTTCATAAATGGTTTTAAATTATCTTAGCCATTTTTATATATTTATCGAACATTTGTATCATGCATTTTGTATCTAGAGGATTATAAAGGTTTCATGACTAGTGTCTATCGAGAAGCGCTGTGATCCCTTTGCTAGAGATACATTTTGTTTTATTTTTGTTTTTCAGCCGTGAGCTCTTTGTTGTGATTATGCAATTCACAGTAGGATTTCTTTCATTTTCTAACCCCTATCCGCAATATTCTGCTAGCTACTAATTTTGAGAAAGATAGGCCCTTGGATCGAGCTCCCGTATTTCTTTTTTGATCAGTTTTTTTTCATCTCATGTTCTGAGTCCAGCTGTGCAGGTTTCTTTTCCCTCCTTTATCACCTTCTCTTACGATTTTTGTTCTACTTATTTTCTCAATTATTGATTTCTGCTTCATAAAATGCCTTGTCTTGCTGTTTTTTACTATCCCTCCTCTACTAGTAATCTCCAAATTTGGGCATCGTAATATTTTTTGTTAATTGCCTAGGAATATGATTTTGATTCATGCATTATCTAAATTAAATTTTGGTTTTTACGTTATGGAGAGTTTTGTGGTTTGACTGGTTACCTTATTCCTTAGGGATAAAATCATTTTTTGATGGAAAGACTTCTTTTTATTCAATGACTGCTATAGCAGCCATTGCAAATGAGCTTATAAATCTAGGACAATAGTCCATGTAGAAAAAGCAAAAGCAGGTAGCATGTGGACTACGAAATTCTCTGAACGAGAAATGTAACAAACGGGCCACAAGAAGCTTGAGAAAGTGGATGAAGTATATCACCAATAACATCAATTTGTTAGCAAAGCTTGAGAAAGTTGATGAAGTAGATCACCAATAACATTCAAGTCAGACGATTGCAAATTTGGTTTGCTAACAGCATTGACCAAATTCACTGCATCTATCTCCACAACACAATTGAGAAAGCCATTTGCTTGAGCAAAGAGAATCCGTTCCCGAACAGCCAAGCACTCTCCTATATGCGCATGAAAACCACCATGAGAACACTTTGATGCTGCGGCGAGAACATTACATCCCTCATCTCGAATAATAACAATGCCGCGATCGAGATAATCTACATTCTCCTTAACTGACGCATCGATGTTAATTTTAACCTTACCCGAGTCTTGTGGCTTCCCACTTTTCCTTTGGCGGCTGAGAATGCAATGTGGGTTGTTCATCCAAACGATGACATGATAAGAATTTCCCTAATAGTCTCCCCGCATTAGCTATAATCTCTTGTGCCTTTCGGTGAACGTTCTCAAACAACAGCTTGCTCCTATTCAGCTAAATACTCCAAGAAAGCATGCAGAAAATTTCAATATCTTCCATCGTCCCCCCTTGTGCTAGAAACAAACACAAGAATGACCACCTCTGAACCTGTTTAATTTCGGCCACATGGAGTAGAGTTCCCAAACTTCCTTAGCAATGGTACAGTACCATAGATCATGCCAGTATCTTCAAGAATATACCCACAGCGAAAGCAATGGCCCAGCACATCCACTCCTCGTCCAACTAAACCGGCCCTTACAGGTGGGGCTTGTTATGAAAGAGGCCAACGTGGAAAATGGAGATGCAGGAGATAAGGCCAACATGGAGCTGACAGAGGCTGCCAAGCTGGCATCCGAGGTGGAGGACGTTATAACAACCCCGGGTGGGAGGTTGGAGGAGAGAGAGGATGCTCTTGGGAGGCGCGAGAAGAGACTTCCGAGGAGGTTAGAAGATTTCGCAGTGGGGTGAGGAAATGGCATGGGGTAATGTAATAAATATGGAAGGAAGAGTGAGAGAGGGTTATGTGATAATTGTGTGAAGTCGTATTCCTTCTTCTTCCTCCGTTCATTGTTTTCTTCTGTCCTTCAGTGTAATGGACTATTAAGTCATAGCTAAATATATCTACCAGAGTACTTTCAATACTTCTATCTTTGGTTTGCTTAGCTGAATAGACCGACCATTGCAAATTGGTGCTTTCATTGAGAGAGTGAGAGTGCAAAGCGCAGACGGCAATGGTCGACGGAACGCGGCTGAGGGTAATGGATGAGACCATTAAGCAACTACAAGACTCAACATCGATGCATGCATCGGCGCTGGGCTCCCTTCAATCCACGGTGGAAGATTTTCGCACGGTGGGCCATGAACAGCAGCACACCATTAACGAACTAGCGAATAAGATGGCCGCAATGGATGGTAAGCTGGAACAAGTTCTTCGTCTCGTTCAGGCAACTATTACGCAGCAAGCCGGATGAGCCGCTGGTCGACGGAGGTCACAGAAATCATCACGCACCAGCACCCATGGCATATGTGCCGCCGGAACCCCTCGGGGCCATTCCAAGCCAATCGGTGCGGCTAGAATTTCCTCGCTTCAACGGTGAGAATCCGATGGAATGGATTGCTAAGGCGGAACAGTTTTTCCACATGTTCCAAACCGCAGAAGCACAGAAGGTGGATATCGCATCTTACCATCTCGATGGACCTGCCTGGCAATGGTTTTAGTGGGCGCAAGGAGAAGCACCCTTTCAGCATTGGGCCCAATTTACTCGGGCCTTGGAAAGTCGATTTGGGCCCACCGCACTTGAAGACCCGGGAGCAGCCTTGGCCAAATTGACCCAAACAGGGACTGTGTCTGAGTTTCAATCCCAATTTGAGCTCCTTTCAAACCGAGTACCCCAACTACCGGAGTCATTCTGGCTGAGCTTGTTCTTGTTCGGGCTACAGGAGGAAATACAGAATGACGTTCGCATTTGCAAACCCACGTCAATAGCTGATGCTATTGGGTTAGCCAGGCTGTACGAAGCCAAAATGTTAATTACTCGGAAG